GGTCCCATCCAACAGCTGTGCAAGTATCTGTGGTGCTTGAATATGAATAAGTATACTTATTATCTTTCCTTTATTTTCTGATTGTGGCATATCTGTTGGTGGCTAGCCGTCTAGAAATTGGCAACTTTTGTATCCTTCTATATTAAGCAGCAACAATTTGTTGCTGGTAAGTTTCTTTCTTCAGAAGCATGTTGTCCTTTGAAAATGAGTGCATCACATGGTACAATAAAGTAATAAGATATTGACTGTCACGCCTCGATTTTTTTTCTTTCGTTCGAGTGTCGTGTTGTCATTCTTAATAACTTATGTCATGAACAAAAATACGAACTTAAAATTTCAAACACACATAATATGTTTAACATAATTCGTTACATAATTGCGGAAGCGTAAAATACTTTAACGTAATCAATGCTAATTAAAATATCTAATCAAGCATGATTCGAAACATAGTCCCGTATTTCTTCATTCAACTCGTCTACTAACAAATGACACCTGAGATATATACATGTATAGTATAAGCTAAAAGCTTAGTGAATACAACATGGTTTCATGATCACATGCACATATAAACAATGTTTTAGTGTATTTTAATTATTATCTTGCAAGTGAGGCCTCGGCTCGTCATTTTTATTTGCGTATGTGGTGTATTCTATGGACGAGGACTCCAAGACCTCGGAATTGCAAGCCTTCCTTTCATGTCCAACCCACCCCGTACGGTGGACGAATCTTGCCAAATCATACTAGTTGCATATTATTTATTTGCAATACTCACTCATTAATGCAAATGATCACATGCACACATAAACAATGTTTTAGTGTCTTTTAATTATTATCTTGCAAGTGAGGCCTCGGCTCGTCACTTTTCTTTGCGTATGAGGCGTATTCTATGGACGAGGACTTCAAGACCTCGGAATTGCAAGCCCTCCTTTCATGTCCAACCCACCCCGTACGGTGGACGAATCTTGCCGAATCATACTAGTTGCATATCATTTATTTGCAATACTCACYCATTAAKGCAAATCTCATCGTGACATGCAACATACWTYTCATGCAAGTGACAACATAAATCACATATGCATCATCGTCATTTATCACATTATACACATACATGAATATCATATTGTTAATATCAAGTCATCATAATCTTTTTCATCCACATCATCTTTCATATCATGCATATACTTAAACATCATGTACGTCAGTACAATCAAGCCATCATCATATGCATATAAACACATCATGCAAATATCATGGATAAAATACTTTTGTAATAATCATGTATATATCCCATAAAAATCGCATAATGTACTCACCTTGAATTGTTAACGTTCGATAGGTCATTCTCTCAAAAACGGCAACCTACATGATAATTTATATCATTCCTAAACATCTTAAATAATCGTAATTAAATTGATTATTATTCCTTAACAATCTTAACATGACTTTTCTTAACATTCTTCTATTGATCAACCCCGAATACCATCATGTCTCATGTTGCGCTCAAATATTTTCTTGAAATATTATTAATAATGTGACGTCGTTATATATTAATTATTGCTTGTACATTTTATAAAAATGTGCCCTACATTTCACATTTTCTTGAATAATAAATATTTTACCAAAATAACAAAACTAAATAGTTCACAACGTAAGTAATGTTTTGTGACCAAAACGTCTCGTTTAAGATTTGCAAGTAAATAAAGGTGACAACATGTCACACACATATAAATAACGATCATTCCATAACTTTAAAGTTCAACATAATTAATACTCGAAATAATGTTTAGAATACCAATTTTCCAAGTCTAGGGGCATTTTGGTAAATCTTAAGAAGCCGAATACCAAAGGTATAGCTTTAACCAATTCCCTAATTTAGAACATTCTTGGTATATTTCATAAGTCGAATATTAAAACGCTGCTTAAAAGTCCAATCCCAAAGCATAGGGGAATTTTGGTAATTTTATTAAGCAATACTCAAAGTATTGTTAAAATACCGATTCCCTAATTGTGAGGTCATTTTGGTAAYTCCAAAAGGATAACAATCAAAATAAAGCATAGATACCAATTCCCAAGTTATAGGGTCATTTCGGTAATTTTATAAARCAAATACGTACAGTATCGCTAAAATAGCGATTTCCACATTGTAGGGTCATTTTGGTAATTTCATAAGAATTTTATTCAAAACAGAACTTAGATACCAAATCCAAGACATAGGGTCATTTCGGTAATTTTATAAATCAAATACGTAAAGTATCGTTAAAATACCGATTTCCACATTGTAGGGTCATTTTGGTAATTTCATAAGGATTAGATTTAAAATAACACTTAGATACCAATTCTCAAGATATTTTATAACACCCTAAAAAAAGGATAGTCTAAATTGAAAATATCGAACGAGAACCAGAATCTTAGATAAAAAAAAATTCACCCAACAAAAGTAATAGTATAGCGTTTACAATTCCGCTACTTAGAAGATAAATAACAACTTACTAATCTAGATTTTTCTAGATTAAAGACGGGTATTTCTATCAATCTTCAAAAAAAGCCGTAACATCAAAAAAACGCAACGTTCAAAAGTAACAAGGCTATAATTACAAAAGAGCCTTTCACGAACCAACGCTCCTCTCAACCTTTTAGAGCCCCTCCGTTAAAGGAACCTAAAAAGTAATTATAACAAGAAAGAGAGAGGGTTAGGCTTACGCCTAGTGAGTCCAAACAAAAGAGTTT